CCGACCCAGGCCCCCCACGCTCCACGATCTGCTCCCAGCCACCGGAGTTCTAAAGAAGGCTGCACCAGCACATGGAGGATCCACACGCCCTCAGTCGCGGAGATTTGATGAGGTCTCTCCAGTGCTCCCAGAAAACAGGCCACATCATGGGGCAGTGAGTTCCACAAGTATGGAGGGGGGTTACTGTTTGTCAAAACACGCAACATGGCCCATTCTGAAGAGGTTGTGTAACAAGATGACCTCAAACTCTTACTTTATAAAGAGAAGGGAGGAGAAGGGAGAGGAGAGACAGAGAGAGGGCGTGAGAAAATGTAAAACGCCTGCATGCATCAGCGAACAGAATAACCAGGCTAACTTTTCTAGGGACACAATTCTAGTGCTGGGGAAGCCACCCCGCAAAAGTGCTGATTCAGGAGCGAATTCTATTGATGGGAAATCCAGGGGAGAGAGACAGAGAGATCCCAACCAAAGTGGGGTTTAAAAGTCGGGAGAGAAATTCCAAGGAGGCAGGAAAAGGTCAACTGGAGATCTCAGTCTTAAGATCTCGGTCCCATCATCCTCGCAGGTGCTCTTGGTGGGGGCACAGAAAGAGATGTAAAATTTCAGGAATTTTTGAAGCTATATAAAAGAGCTCCGGGGGGGGGGGAAAAGGGGAAAAAAACCTGTGTTTTTTTCCTCCATTTTTCCTGGTTCCGCCCCAAAGCTGTTTTAGATAGCTTCAAAATTCCCGGGCATTTTACCCCTCTAGCTGGGACCGCATCCTGCCTAGAGACGAACTGGCTTGATGGCATGCCATTATCAGCTTGATCCAGACACATTGAGGTCGAAACGGCTGTTTCATAGGGAGCCAGAAATAGGTTAGAAACTGGTTCAGAAGAGAAGGGAGCTTTTCCAGATCCAGACGACTCAAGAGAGAGCAGAAGGAAGGGGAGGGGCTCCCCAAGGCCGAGAGAGACACCCTTTTCCGCATTCCCAGGAAAACAAACCTTTCTCGGAGCAAGACACGTGGCCAGAGAGGGGAGAGCGTGCCTGCCAAAGCAAACAACCCGAGGCAAGAACAAGGGTGCGCTCTTTCTCCCTCCCTTGTTCGAAACCTGTCCTCCTCGCTTCCTTCTCCCTGGGTTCAAATACCACCCCACCCCCGGATATTACATGCCAAGGACTTAAAAATAAAAACATAAAAGAAAACCGACTTCAAGGCTGGTTCAACCTGGCAAGCTCCGCACCTGGGACGCTGACGGCAGCGGTGATGCAAACCCCTAACCCTGTCCAGCCCCTCTTTCTTCCTACCCAGCAGCCACTGTATGTTTGGGACTCCAATACCCATCCCCCCAAGCCCATGTGTGTTGTGTTCTGTGCCGTCAAGTCGGAAGCAACTTAACAAGCAACCCTAACGGGGCTTTCATGTTAAGTAGGGTATTTAAGGGGTGGCTTTGCCAGTGCCAGTCCCCCCCCCCAGTGAGCTTCCATGGCTGAGCGGAGGGATTCGAACCCAGGCCCCCTGAGTCCTAGCCCGTCCCTCCACGCACTGCACCACATTTCACTGTTGCATTTTCAAGTTAACTCTTTGCAAATCGGCAGAGCCCATGCAATGGGTTGGCCGCATATTCAGGAGGCCTGGGTTCAAATTCCCAACGCTCAGCCACAGGGAATTGACTGGGAGAAGGCAATGAAGGGAACCCCTCAGATAACATGGAAACCACATTAAGGTCACCGAATGTCAGAATGAACTGGCCAGCATGCGGGCACCCCTCTGTTTATGGTTCCCAACCTTGCCCCCCCCAGATGTTCTAGGAGGTAATAGTAAGATAACTGTTTAAAAAGCCCTCTGTGAAGCTGGCAGGGGAGGGGCCTTCTCGGTGGCTGCTCCCAGACTTTGGAACTCCCTGCCACAGGAGGCCAGGCTGGGCCCAT